ATAGGGCGAGGGAGAGAGGAACATCAATTGGCTGCCTCCCTCGTGACCTCCACTGGGGATCAAGCCCACAACCTGGGCATGGAGAGATAGGGTGAGGGAGAGAGGAACATCAATTGGCTGCCTCCCTCATGACCTCCACTGGGGATCAAGCCCACAACCTGGGCATGTGCCCTGACCAGGAATCAACCAGCGGCCCCCTGGTGCATGGAGCAATGCTCAACCAACTGAGCCACACCCGCCGGGCTCCATTACCTTCTGCTGTGCGCATTGTAAAACAGGAAAACTGGGACAATTGGCGATTATTTCCCTTTATTGAAGCACCAGTTATGTAATAAAGAAGTACTTTTCCAGCATGGTTCAAAAACTGATCAGAATAAACTAGCAGAGAATTATGGAAAATTTGACTTAATTGGAAAAGACATTTTAAATTAGAACAAGAGATCTAAAATAGGTTTTACATTTGTACTTATTTGCATATATTACCATTTAATCAGAGATAAAATTGGGAAATATTTGGGTACCCTAATATTTGAATAAAGTTACATAATACAGTTATTAAAAGCTTAGTTTATAATAGTGAAATGTACTCTCCCTTTAAGTCTAAACTTTATGCAAGATTCTTTTATATAACTGGTTTCCAAATAAGTCAACCATACCAGATAAGGAATAAGATCATTTATTCTTTACACTGGGTCTTCATTAAAACTCATCTGTTCTTTCGCTTCATTTTTTTCGAGTTTACATCACATCTCACAAAGGTTTTCTCCTGGGTTGGGTGAAGTTGTAGGTCTTCCATGCTTTCTGAGCAAAATACCATTCTGAACAGAAAACATAAAGCAAAGACAGCATTAAGTTTTAGATGGAGCTTATTGAAGTGTTTCATCTTTTGTCAAATACTCAATTGATATAACACATGCTATGTTTTTTTTTAAAAAAAAACAACTGGATTCTTACGTTTGCAAATATTTTCATAACTTCAGAGAAAAGCAAAACCCAAGTCAGTGACCGCATCGGTCAGGCTCTGCTCTGGGCTGATTTCAGATCTACAGAAACGCAAAGTCCTAGGGGCAGTCCTCCTTTGTTCTCCCTGTAACCGCTCATCAAAGATTTGAGGGTTAACTACTGTTCCTTTCACGAAATCGACATCGTCCTGGCTCCTGGGCAAACATTCGCAGCTCCTTCAACTGTTCTGCTCAGACAGGCTTCCCTCCAGCCTGCCTTCTTTGGACCGGCTCCAATTTGTCAATGCTGGTCTTACAGGCCCCTGGGCATGAGGCCACTGTCACCAGCCCCTGCCTGGCTGTCGTGTAGGCCCTGCCCCTTCCTCTCATTGGTGCAGACGCTGTCCAGCCAAAGAGGCCGTCACTAATGCTTTGGGCCTCTTTTGGAGACCAGCTAGCGGCCAGTCTGCTTTGACCCGCAGCTTGGCCTGAGATGCTATTTTGTGCTACCAGCTCCAGTGGTCACTGAGAATTCTAGTTCATGGCTTTTTTTTTCTTTGAATTGCATCTGAGGTCAAGTCTTGACTCATAAACTTTTAACATTAAAGTAGTATATAAGCTAGACAAATACTACATGGTATCGCTTATATGCAAAATCTAAAAAAAAAAAAAATCAAATTCATAGAAAAAGTGGAGAAGAGCGGTTCCCAGGGCGCTGGGAGAGGGGGCCCAGGGAGCAGCTGGTATAAACTTTCAGCTACAGAGTGAATAAGGTCTGATGATCTCATGTGAAACATGGTGACTATAGTGGGTAACACTACATAGTATCAATGAAATTTGCTAACAGAGTAAACGTCACTGTTCTCAAAACAATGAAAATGATAAATATGTGAGGTGATGGATGTGTTAATTAACTAGATGGGGCAATCCTTTCACAGTGTATTTGCACAGTGTGGGGCAAAAGAAGGTTTATAGTTGTAACACAAATAAATAAGGCTACAATAAACTCTGTTTTGCACAACTTTGAACCTCCTTTTGCCCCACCCTGTATATCAAATCACACCTCAAAACAATGAAAATGATAAATATGTGAGGTGATGAATGTGTTAATTAACTAGATGGGGCAATCCTTTCACAGTGTATTTGCACAGTGTGGGGCAAAAGAAGGTTTATAGTTGTAACACAAATAAATAAGGCTACAATAAACTCTGTTTTGCACAACTTTGAACCTCCTTTTGCCCCACCCTGTATATCAAATCACAATGATGTACTTTAAATACCTTAGCAATTTTGTTAAATATACTTCAATGAAGCTGAAATGAAAGTGGTACGAGTAATCTATAAATGCATTCTTGAAAAATTCAAGTAGTAAAGAATACAGTCAAATATTAAAGACCCTTTTCTCCATCACCCTTCACCAATGTCACTTCCCTCTCCTCTTCATGGTTTGGTTTCTGTCTTCCTAGGACATTTACACACATCCTGATGTTCATATGCAAACATAAGGGTTTTCTGTAGGTATTTTTCTGAAAATTTTCCTTGTCATCAAATAATGTACTTGGAGACCAGTCATATCTGTACATATAAATCTCTTTCCTTCCTTTCCACTTGCTGCATGGATTCCATGGTACACACAGAGCTCAATGCATTTAGCCTTTTTCCTATTGATGGAGAGATATTGAGATTTTCCCAATGGTTTACTATTTTCAAATAGTGCTGCAACAAACATTTTATACACATACATCCTTTGTGGACATACTTAGTATTTCTCCAGGACAGACACCTGGAAGTAAAGTTCTGTGTCATGCCATATTCTCGGCCATATATGTTAGGCGTACGGAAATTTTTGATAACGTAAGCTCCATGAGACCAAGGGCGTCGTCTCCTCTGTTCACTGCTGTATATCTGGGGCCCACAGCAGTGCCTGGCATAAGGCAGGTGCTCACCACGTCAGTTGCTGAGTCAGTTGCTGCAGACGCTCTGTAATTTCACTCCCACTATGAGGAGGAGAAAGCCCATTGCTCCACACCTTTACCTTCTCTGCATGTTAGCTCCTCTAATTCCCGCCCAACTGATGGTTGGCCAGAGACACTCTCACTGCTTTTTGTTTTGAATTATATGGTTATCGTGGAAGTGCAATATCTCATTACGGTTAGCCTATTGCTTTTTATGTCCCGTAGGGCTAATGTTTTCTGTCCTTTCTCCTCACCCCACAACAGGCCCTCTTGTCCCTGACCTTGTGCCTGTGGGAGAGAAGAATCAGCCCCGGAGACACAGAGCAGGTGACATAATCAACTTCCCCCTCCCTCCTGCCCCGCCTTGCAGTCAGCAGAGAGATTGAGAGTATGAGGTTAAGCGTTTGCATCCTGGCTCTGGGATTTGGGTTTGTTGGAGGTAATTAAACGTTAGTAATTGTTATTAGTCTCATGAGATACATAATATAATTCCCATTTATTATTAAAGAGCCGAGCCTCAGAGAGGTACAGTTGTTCTCAGAATTATTCTACATATTTATTCTATGGAGGCGGTAAGCAGTGAAGTCAAAATGAGAGTTTAGGCCTGACTGATGCCGGGGCCACCAGACCCTGCTCACCTAGTGCCTGGCTCCCTGCCTCTCTCTGGGAACACCTCCTGGCCCTCCCCCAAAGCCTGCTGCAGCTCAGCCCCCGCAGCACCAACCTGAACTTGCTTCTTAAACTTCCTAGGCCACGCAGTCCCAGGCCCTGGCTAATCCGCTTGTGGTCCATGGCCAGCAGCGTCAGCAGCGCCAGGGACTTGTTAGAGAAGCAGAGTCTCATGCCTCCCCCCAGCCCCCGCCCCCAGACCTACTGAAGCAGAACTGCATTTTAACCGGATTCCCAGATGACCCGTGTGGACATTGAGGCTGGAGAAGCTCTGTGATGGAGCACATTATTACTAAAATTAACGCATCTTGTTTTCATTTATGCCAACAGCCAACACTCAGATTTTTTTGGTCTCCCTCCATGACGTGTGGTATGTGGAGACACAGAGCAGGCGCTGAGTGCTTCCTGATGGAAAACTCTAGGTCCCATAGCCCTTCCCCTCGTTCCAGCATGTGCCTCCTGCAGCCACGAAGAAGGGCTTGGCGTGCGTGTGTTAATGTCCAGCACTGCACTCCGCTCGGTTCCACTAAGGAGAGTCAGATTAGTGGGGCCAAGAGTAACGGAGGAAGGACCTGCTGGGAACAGTGTACGGGCAACATGGGCAATGACTCCAGCAAACCTGAGTGGGAACTGGGCTCGGACAATTACTAGCAAAGTCCCCAAGCTGTGTAGCTTCTGTGAGCCCAAGGTTCCAGGTCTGCGCAGCCAGCACTACCCGCTTCAGAGGGTGGTTGGGAAGATTCCATGAGATGACTGCCCTGGAGCACTCAGTTCCAGGCCCGCCTGCTGTAGGAGCTCTGTAAGTGTCGTTCCCTCCCCTCCCCTCTTTCCTTCTTGTATGTATGTATGCATGCATGTATGTATTGACTGTTCAGAGCACAGAGAAAGGGGTGCAGAGAGATTGAGAGAGAGAAACATGGCTTTGTTGTTTCACTTACTATGCACTCATTGGTTGATTCTTGTATGTGCCCTGATTGAGAATTGAACCCACAACCTTGACATACAGGGACGATGCTCTAACCAACTGAGCTACCCAGCGGCGCCTCCTCTTTCTTTCTTGAGAGCCGTGCAGCTCAGCACCGGCGGAGAAGGTAGCGCTGTCTTTCTTACAACCTTTCAGGCCAAGTTATGGGACTGTCCTGGGGAGCAGCCACCGCCCTGGAGGTATCACTCTCTAACTGGGAGCATGTGGGAGGGGTGGCGCTCAGACAGAGCTGATGGAAAGGGCCAAAAACTCAGGCAAGAACAGCTAAGTGTAGAAGAGGAGAAGCAGTTTAATTTTCCAAATTGACCATGTGGAGAAGTCTGTTGGCAGACTGCAGAGTGTGCTCTTCATGATAGCCAGGACCTTGTATCCCAGGAAGATAGGCCCTCAGAGTGGGGCTGTGGAGGGGCCTCAGGGGGCATACATCTGCCCTGGCCTCCCTCAACTCCCCCTACCCCCGGCAGAGAAACCTGGCGTGTAGTTTAGGAGTGAGAAGCCTGCTGTTTTCTGTCCCTCCTGGGGACAAGCCAAAGAGAGAAATGAGCTTCCAACAAAGAAATGGGAGAGGAGAGGCCAGTGTCCTGAACACGGCGGGGAAGAGACAGGAAAAGGTCTGGGAGGACAGAATTCTCCTTTCATGGAGATCTGCAAACAAGAGTGGTTGCCATGGCAAAACGTGTTGGGCATCTCTTTGCTCTGCTGGAGTAGCAGCTGGACGACCCTTTCTTTCCTTTATTCCCCATCCCCTCCCTAACCCCTCATTGTCCTCGAGCACCTTGGGGCCAAGGGAGAAGCTAAATCACGCAGAGCAGGTTTCTTAAAGGCAACCCATGGGTCCACGTCAGAAGGTCTCAGTAACAAACGTGTGTCCTGGCTCCCTTCTCACACCACAGTGAGTCAGAAGCTCTGTGGGTGGGGCCGGGCATGATGCATATTTAATACGCTTCCCCGTGATTCTCTGGCGCTCTGAGATTTGAAACGCACCACCACAGAGCAGGATGTTAAGATTGTGATCTGCTATGAGCATTCCTCCGAGGAAGCAACAAAAAAGAAATGTCGAATCTGGGGCCTTGCCACCCAAAGTGTGGTCCCTGGCCAAGCAACACTGACATCACCCCATGATGCATCCACAGGCTGGGATCTGAGAAGTGTTGGGCTAGCGAGGGGGTTCTCAGATTCCGGAGGCAGGCGGCTATTGAACCCAGGCCGTGGAAGAGGCTAGCCCGGGACTCGGAAGACCCAGGTGCAGATCCCGGTCCTTCCACCTGTGGCTGGACATTTCACCTTTCTCAGTGTCTATCCTCCATTATTAGGACATAATAATGCCCACCTCGTAGGATAAATGCAAGTATCCTATATAATAAAAGGCTAATATGCAAATTGTCCCCTCAACCAGGAGTTCAACCAGGAGTTCAACCAGGGGGCGGGGCCTGCCTGCCAACTGCCCACAGCCCCTCCCCCTGGCCAGTCCTGCCCCCGATTGGCCCCCCACACCCTGATTGGGAGCGGGCCGGCTGGCCAACTGCCCACAGCCCTCCCCCCGGGCCAGCCTAGACTGATTGGCCCCAATCAGGGCAGGCCGGCCAGACCCCACCTGTGCATGAATTCGTGCACCGGGCCTCTAGTGACATTATAAAAGTGCTTACTAGATGTCAGGAGTTGAATGAGCACTCACCTTTTCTGGGTCTCTCCTGCTTTGACTCGGATGTTCTTTAGAACGAGGCCTGAGTAGAGGGGCCCTCTGCCCCACGGGATGATGGTCTGGACCGTGTTCCAGACATTGGCCCACACGGCGCTGTTTTCCCACTTGAATTTGATTTTGAGCAGCTCACCAATATCCGAATCCAAGGTGATAAGAAAGGAATAGGTTTTGTTACTAGTAATTCCTTCGCCCCTTGAAGATACAAAGGAAACCAGACACGGTCAGTGTATTTGTAACAGCAGTGATGCTTAGATACATTCAGGATGTGCTAGGTTTGCCTTTGCCACTTGCATGGTCATTCCTGCTGTATTTCTCAAACTATTGTTGGACAGATTATTACTAGAGGAACCAATAGGATAAAGAAGGGTTTTCTAGTGATATTGGAAAAACCATACTGTTACCTGTGACAGCATATTATAAACGCTTGGAGAGTTCCACAGTGAAAACCTAGTTAACGTTGTTTAGCTCAGGCTTCCTAGTTTTTACATTAACAAATCGAGAAAACTGCCCCCGATGGGACAGTGGGGCTTTGGCAATGGCCACTGAACACAACAGAGCCGCACCACCCTCTCCTTTCCCCAGCAAGGTTCCTTTCTCCCCGTATAAATAGAAACTCCTATTTGAACAACAAAGCACAACAGTAATAGAAAACCATTTATTAAAAGGATGCACCTGAAGATGGCGACTGGCAGGAAGGCAGGGAGGGAGAGAGTGTGAGAGCGCAAGGGAGTGCTAGAGGAGTGTGTGGACGTGTGTGGTGTGTGTGTATGAGCTAGGGACAGCTAGATTCTGCAGGTCTTCTAAGGGGCTGCTAAACCGGGCAGTCTTAGATGACGGAGCCCCGCTCCCAGCTCGGACACTCCTAGGCAGCCAGCATGGGAACAGAGACTACGCCATCTTGAGAAACAGAGCTGCTTGAGACTAGGATCCTGGCCTCAGCACCACCCAGTCTGATCTCAGACGTAAACCAGGACCCTGCAGCCACTGGGGACAGAGACCTGTGACCACAGCTACAGAGCCACGGACACCAAGAGTCCAGAAATCCCCGTGGCAGATCCATGAGTAACAGAGCCCACCCCCCTCCCTACAGGCTCACGGGCAGCGCCATAGTAAATGATAGACCCACCCCTTGCCCGGGTCTCAGTGCTGCTACAGGGACCTTAGCCTGGAAGTGCGCAAACACCGGGAACTTGTCCCTTGCAGCGCAGGCTAAGGGAGCCTTGGTCTGAAGTGCGTGAACACTGGGAACTTGTCCCGCACTGTGCAGGCTAAGGGAGCCTTGGCCTGAAGTGCGTGAACACTGGGAACTTGTCCCGCACTGCGCAGGCTAAGGGAGCCTTGGCCTGAAGTGCGTGAACACCGGGAACTTGTCCAGCGCAGCGCAGGCTAGGGGAGCCTTGGCCTGGAAGTGAGCGAACACTGGGAACTTGTTCCTCGCAGCACGGGCCCCAGGACCCCGATTCTCCGGGCAGGAGGCAACACCAAGCACCAGTGACTTGACTGTGTTTCTTATCACCTGCGCCTGAGATCCTGATTCCCTGTGCATTCATACTAAGAGCCAGTGAATCCAATTCCTGGTGCAAGGGCACACAGGGACCCTGATTCTCAAGGCGAAGTCGCACAAAGCAACAGAGACTCTGATACTGGACTCTTGGGGAACTCTGACTCCTGGCGCATGCTAGGGGGCTCTGGTTTTCAACACGCTCCAGGGGGGTCTCTATTTCAGCACGGTGCAGGCAGGGTCCCTAATTCTAAGGGCACATACGAGGCCACATTGAGCGCTGGCAACACTGACTCAGAGCGAGCCTGGTTCCCACCAACCAACAACAACCACACATCTTAGTGTCAGAGCTCTTCAGTGACACTAAGGTGGTGGGAGGCTCCCACTGCACACGGCCCAGGCCCACGCAACCCGACCTTTGATCCATCGGGAGATAAGCAGAATGAAGAAACGACACAACACCCAGAGGAAAGACAATGAGGAATCACCAAGAAAGGAAATTAATGAAGTTGAAGCGTGCAACATGACAGAAAAAGAATTCAGAATAATGGTTGTACAATTCATTCACCGGATGGATGAGAAAATCAACAACCTATGCAAGAATCAGGAAGAAATGAAAAGTGATATAGCTACAATCAAAAACACCATGGAAAGTTTCAACAGCAGGCTGAAAGAAGCAGAGGACCGAATTAGTGAGTTAGAAGATAAGGCAGAGAAACAAGCTCAATCTGAACAGCAACTGGAGAAAAAAATTAAAAAACAGGAGGAGAGCCTAAGGGAGCTTCGGGACAACATGAAACGAAGTAACATACGCATAATAGGGCTGCAAGAGGGACAAGAAGAGCAGCAAGGATTAGAAAATCTATTTGAAGAAATAATGACAGAAAACTTCCCAGATATGGGGAAGAAAAAAGTTACACAAGTACAGAGAGTCCCAGGCAAGATGAACCCCAAAAGACCCACACCAAGACACGTCATAATAACGATGGCAAATGTACAAGACAAAGAGAGAATCTTAAAGGCTGCAAGAGAGAAACAGAGAGTTACCTACAAAGGATCCCCCATCAGATTATCAAACGATTTCTCAACAGAAACACATCAGGCCAGGAAAGAATGGACAGAAATTTACAAAGTGATGCAAAGCAAAGGACTGAATCCAAGAATACTCTATCCAGCAAGGCTATCATTCAAAATTGAAGGGGAAATAAGAAGCTTCACAGACAAAAAAAGGCTAAGGGAGTTCATCACCACCAAGCCAGCAATGCAAGAAATGCTAAAGGGACTGGTGTAAAAAGAAGAAATAAAAAGCCCAGAAAGAAAACAGCCACACAAAAAAAGAAATGGCTACAAACAAGTACCTTTCAATAATAACTTTAAACGTAAATGGACTAAATGGTCCAATCAAAAGACATCGAGTGGCTGAATGGATAAAAAAACATGACCCATACATTTGCTGTCTACAAGAGACCCACCTCATTAAAAGGGACTCACACAGACTGAAAGTGAAGGGATGGAAAAATATCTTTCAGGCAAATGGAAATGAAAAAAAAGCTGGGGTAGCAATACTTATATCCGACAAAATAGACCTCAAAGTGAAGGCCATAACAAGAGATAAGGAAGGCCACTTCATAATACTAAAGGGATCAATACAACAAGAGGATATAACCCTGATAAACATATATGCACCCAATGCAGGAGCACCCACATACATAAGAAAACTCCTGGAAGACATCAGGGGAGAGATCGACAACAATACAATCATAGTAGGGGACTTTAATACACCACTGACATCACTGGATAAATCTGCTAGACAAAAAATCAGCAAAGAAACAGCAATCCTAAATGACTCACTAGATCAGATGGACTTAATTGACATCTTCAGAACACTTCACCCCAAAGCAACAAAATATACGTTCTTCTCAAGTGCTCATGGGACATCTTCAAAAATAGACCACATATTGGGTCACAAACAAAGTCTCCCCAAATTCAAGAAGATTGAAATCATACCAAGCATCTTCTCAGACCACAAGGGCATAATATTAGAAATAAACTACAATAAAAACAACCCAAAATACTCAAACACTTGGAAGCTGAATAGCATGTTATTAAATATTGATTGGGTTACCAATGAGATCAAAGAAGAAATTAAAAACATCCTGGAAACTAATGACAATGAAAACACAACAATCCAAAACCTTTGGGACACAATGAAAGCAGTCCTGAGAGGGAAGTTTATAGCTCTACAGGCCTACCTCAACAAACAAGAAAAAATGGTAGTAAATCATCTAAATCTACAGCTCAAAGAATTAGAAAGAGAGCAACAAGAAAAGCCCAGAGTGAGCAGAAGGAAGGAGATAATAAAGATTAGAGCAGAAATAAATGACATAGAGACCAAAAAAACAATACAGAAAATCAATGAAACCAAGAGCTGGTTCTTTGAAAGGATAAACAAGATCGACAAACCTCTAGCCAGGCTCACCAAAAAGCAAAGAGAGAGGACCCAAATAAACCAAATCAGAAATGATAGAGGCGAAATAACAACAGACCCCACAGAAATACAAATGATTGTTAAAAAATACTATGAACAACTCTACTCCAACAAACTAGACAACCTGGAGGAAATGGACATATTTCTAGAAAAATACAACATTCCAAAACTTAATCAGGAAGAATCTAAAAATCTCAACAGGCCAATAACTATGGAAGAAATTGAAGCAGTCATCAGAAAGCTTCCAGCAAACAAAAGCCCAGGACCAGACGGCTTCACAGGGGAGTTTTACCAAACATTCAAGGAAGAACTAAAACCTATCCTCCTCAGACTACTACAAAAAATCCAAGAGGAAGGAACACTTCCAAGCTCATTCTATGAAGCCAGCATCACCCTAATACCAAAACCAGGTAAAGACAACACAATGAAAGAGAATTACAGGCCAATATCCCTCATGAACATAGATGCCAAAATCCTCAACAAAATCTTAGCAAATCGGATCCAGCAGTACATCAGAAAGATCATACACCATGACCAAGTAGGATTTATCCCAGGGATGCAAGGATGGTACAATATCCGCAAATCAATCAACGTGATACATCACATAAACAAATTGAAGGAAAAAAACCACATAGTCATATCAATTGATGCAGAAAAAGCATTTGACAAAATTCAACACCCATTTTTGATAAAAACTCTCAGCAAGGTGGGAATAGAAGGATCATACCTCAACATAATAAAAGCCATATATGACAAACCCACAGCCAACATCATACTCAATGGACAAAAACTAACACCATTTCCCCTAAAAACAGGAACAAGACAGGGATGCCCACTCTCACCACTCCTGTTCGACATAGTACTGGAAGTATTAGCCATTGCAATTAGACAAGAAGAAGAAATAAAAGGCATCCAAATTGGAAAAGAGGAAGTAAAACTGTCCTTATTTGCAGATGACATGATATTATACTTAAAAAACCCTAAAGACTCCATCAAAAAACTATTAGACTTAATAAAAGAATTCGGCAATGTAGCAGGATACAGAATTAACGCCAAGAAATCTATGGCATTTCTATACACCAATAGTGAACTTGCAGAAAGAGAGACTAAAAAAGCAATCCCATTTACCATCTCACCAAAAAAATTAAGCTACCTAGGAATAAACTTAACTAAAGAGGTAAAAGACCTCTACTCAGAAAACTACAGGACGTTGAAAAAAGAGATAGAGGAAGACATAAAGAGATGGAAGAACATACCATGTTCTTGGATTGGTAGAATCAACATCATTAAAATGTCCATACTGCCCAAAGCAATCTATAAATTCAACGCACTTCCCATTAAAATACCAACGGCATATTTCACAGACCTAGAACGAACTCTCCAAAAATTCATCTGGAACAAAAAACGACCCCGAATAGCTGCAGCGATCCTGAGAAAGAAGAAAGTAGGTGGGATCTCAATACCAGATATCAAGCTGTATTACAAAGCCACTGTTCTCAAAACTGCCTGGTACTGGCACAAGAACAGACATATAGATCAATGGAATAGAATAGAGAGCCCAGAAATCAGCCCCAACCAATACGCTCAATTAATATTTGACAAAGGAGGCAAGAACATACAATGGAGTCAAGACAGTCTCTTCAATAAATGGTGCTGGGAAAATTGGACAGATACATGCAAGAAAATGAAACTAGACCACCAACTTACACCATACACAAAAATAAACTCAAAATGGATAAAGGACTTAAATATACGACCGGAAACCATAAAAATACTAGAAGAATCCAAAGGCAACAAAATCTCAGACCTATGCCGAAGCAATTTCTTCACCGATACAGATCCTAGGGCATTGGAAACTAAAGAGAAAATAAACAAATGGGACTACATCAAAATAAAAAGTTTCTGCACAGCAAAAGAAACCATCAACAAAACAACAAGAAAGCCCACTACATGGGAGAACATATTTGCCAACATTATATCTGATAAGGGCCTAATCTCCAACATTTATAGGGAACTCATACAACTTAACAAAAGGAAGATAAACAATCCAATCAAAAAATGGGCAAAGGACCTAAATAGACACCTTTCAAAAGAGGACATTCAGAAAGCCAAGAGACATATGAAAACATGCTCAAAGTCACTAATCATCCGAGAGATGCAAATCAAAACAACAATGAGGTACCATCTCACACCTGTCAGAATGGCTATCATCAACAAATCAACAAACGACAAGTGCTGGAGAGGATGTGGAGAAAAAGGAACACTTGTGCACTGCTGGTGGGAATGCAGACTGGTGCAGCCACTATGGAAGACAGTATGGAGTTTCCTCAAAAAACTGGAAATGGAACTCCCATTTGACCCTGTGATCCCACTTCTAGGAATATATCCCAAGAAACCAAAAACACCAATCAGAAAGGATATATGCACCCCTATGTTCATAGCAGCACAATTCACCATAGCTAAGATTTGGAAACAGCCTAAGTGCCCATCAGTAGATGAATGGATTAGAAAACTGTGGTACATCTACACGATGGAATACTATGCTGCTGTAAAAAAGAAGGAACTCTTACCATTTGCAACAGCATGGATGGAACTGGAGAGCATTATGCTAAGTGAAATAAGCCAGTCAATGAAGGAAAAATACCACATGATCTCACTCATTCATGGATAATAGAGACCATTACAAACTTTTGAACAATAATAGATACAGAGGCAGAGCTGCCTCAAACTGATTGTCAAACTGCAGTGGGAAGGCCAGAGAGGGTTGGGGGGCAGAAGGGAGGGGAGTAAGAGATCAACCGAAGGACTTGTATGCATGCATATAAGCATAACCAATGGACATAAGACGCGGGGGGGTAGGGGAGGCCAGGGGATTGTCAAGGGCGGAGATAAAAAAGGACACATATATAATACCCTTTGTAATACTTTGAGCAATAAAAAAATTTAAAAAAATAAAAAAATATAAACTCATGCAACTTAACAAAAGGAAGATAAACAATCCAATCAAAAAATGGGCAACGGACTTAAATCGACACTTTTCAAAAGAGGACATACAGAAGGCTGAAAGACATATGAAAACATGCTCGAAGTCACTGATTATACGAGAGATGCAAATCAAAACGTCAATGCGGTATCATCTCACACCTGTCAGAATGGCTATCATCAACAAATCAACAAACAACAAGTGTTGGAGAGGATGTGGAGAAAAAGGAACCCTTCTGCACTGCTGGTGGGAATGCAGACTGGTGCAGCCACTGTGGAGAACAGTATGGAGTTTCCTCAAAAAACTAAAAATGGAACTCCCATTCGACCCAGTGATCCCACTTCTAGGAATATATCCCAAGAAACCAGAAACACCAATCAGAAAGGATATGTGCACACATATGTTCATAGCAGCACAATTCACCATAGCTAAGATCTGGAAACAGCCTAAGTGCCCATCAGTAGATGAATGGATTAGAAAACTGTGGTACATCTACACGATGGAATACTATGCTGCTGTAAAAAAGAAGGAACTCTTACAATTTGCAACGGCATGGATGGAGCTGGAGAGCATTATGCTAAGTGAAATAAGCCAGTCAATGAAGGAAAAATACCACATGATCTCACTCATTCATGGATAATAAAGACCATTACAAACTTTTGAACAATAATAGATACAGAGGCAGAGCTGCCTCAAACTGATTGTCAAACTGCAGCGGGAAGGCCAGAGAGGGTTGGGGGGCAGAAGGGAGGGGAGTAAGAGATCAACCGAAGGACTTGTATGCATGCATATAAGCATAACCAATGGACATAAGACACTGGTTAAACGCATATCTACGGGCATCATAAGTATCAGTTTCATGCCCAACATTGAGTGCACCCAGATGCCCTTCCCACTCTTTAGAACAACCCCCGCCCCCCAGGGAGAGGTTTGGGTAATGCGTGGGTAACGTGGGATTTAGGGAGACAGCGGATGGAGAGTTTCCTTGCACGGCTGCTCATCTAGCTGTTCCTGCCGGATGTTACAGGGACTCTTTAGGAATGCCTCCACCCGCTGCACTGGGAGAAGCCTCCGGACAGGGTCCTCTCTACCTCCAGGGCGAGCACAGGCACATGCTTCTCGAATGACTGAAGCAGTGTGAGACCAGAGATCAATCCCTGGGGGCAATTTTCAGAAGCTGAGGACCTTCCCTGAGCGAGTGAAGGGCTAGTGTCACTTCCCAAGAAGAGCCCACACTGCGAGTCGAGATGCTGAGAAAAAGCAGCGCATGGGCCTTTCCTGGCCGGTGAAGCTGGGAGCCTCTGAGGGAGGCGTGAGGCTTGTGCTGCGAGCAGGTGTGTAGCAGGACGAAGGACAGATGGGAAGGGCTGGCAGTGCAGGCGGATTGGCATGGGAAATTGGTGCCAAGTTGAATGATACCAGTTTTATTTCTGGGCTACTTGTCAGAAGTCACTGGAAAGGCAGGCACCCGGGGCCTTCCGGTGGACACCTGCTCTGGCCTCACCACTCCTCCCTGCCCCGTCTGCTTCCTGCACTGAGCACAGGGGCTGGGCCCCGCTGGTCTCCTCTCTGCTCAGCCCACATGGCAGTGGGCCGGTCGGCAGGGGCTGGGCCCCGCTGGTCTCCTCCTCTCTGCTCAGCCCACATGGCAGTGGGCCGGTCGCATACACAGGTAGCGCCAGCGTAAAGCAAACGGTGGGACTGGGAGAGGCCGGGGAGGGATGACAGGGCGTTGGGCTTGGGTGGATGTCTCATCTGCTAGGGTGTTTGGGGCAGTCCTATGGGCGGAGAAAAGCAGGTTGTATCTGGCCTGACCCTTGAGAAGTCCAGAGTCCGTCTAGTCCCTGCGAGAAAACTCAGCTGCCATCACCATAGACGGGCAGCTCCTCGTACTCACAGAGTGATGGGGATTTTCTGTATTTCGAGTTCTGTTCCCAGGAGTGACATGGTAAACGTTGGTTCCACTGGCTTCTCAATTTGGTTGAGGAACTGGATCTTGAACTGATAATGATAAACTGGGAGCGGGGCAGGGGGAGGAGAGGGAGAGAGAAAGAGAATTTAATCAGAAAAAATTTAAATATAAAATGCTGAGGGAAAAGTCTGGATGAGTACATACCTCTTCCTCCCTCCTCCATAATTCTATTCACAGGTGATAGAATTATGAATGCCTTTTATTTTCTTTTTCTTTCTCTGTATTTCCTAAATGTCTTGAGAAGACTTCTATTGTGTTTGTAAATTAATAATAATAAGCATTATCCAACAAAAGGAGGTAGAACAGGAGTACAGTATATCTGGCATTGTCCCACCTTCTGGATGCGATTCTGTTGGACTACCCCATGTATTCGGTAGGGGTCCCCTTTTATAGATCAAAGAGTATATGCCTTTTGGGCACCGACAAAGGCAAGAGGACACACTGCATGTTTACGTTTGCCTGTTTGATGGGTCAGTGTTGGGGTGAGGCAGAATTCTAGCTGAGACATATGCCTCAGTGACCACAGACCTATATTCCGGGGCAGTTCCTGGGAACTAGTTCTGGGGGGTTCAATGAGCACATTTTCCAATGGAAATAGATAACTTGAGTTCTAGTACTTGGTCCCAAAAGTTTTCTATCAGAGCAAATGTCCTTCTACTGGGTTGTTTGGAAGAGAAAATGTACTTTATTCTTTTTTACCTAAATACAGTCTATATTTCATTAACAAAAAAACACATTGCTTACTAGTAGGCAGGGATTGTTACATATTTCACATTGCATCATCTCATTAACTTGTCATAGCAACTCTATGAGGTAGGTAGTGTAATTATTATCTTCATTTTATAAATCAGAAAATCAGGGCTCAGGAGGCGAAGTAACTAGCTCAAGGTCACACAGCAGCATCTGTGCTCTAGCCTGGACCCATTGCCAAGGTTCCTGAGATGGCCTTGGCTTTGCCTGCATTGTTATACCAACCAGCTATGAGGCTGTTTTCAAAATTCCCCTACCTCATTCCAAATAGGCTGATGGCTGCTCAGACTTCTTTTCCTTGTTGTGCCCATATTCTATAAGTACCTGCAGCGTTTTATTTTTATTTATTTAAAATATATTTTATTGATTTTTTTACAGAGAGGAAGGGAGAGGGACAGAGAGTTAGAAACATCGATTAGCTGCCTACTGCACATGGGGATGTGCCCGCAACCAAGGTACATGCCCTTGACCGGAATTGAACCCTGGACCCTTCAGTCCCCAGGCTGACGCTCTATCCACTGAGCCAAACCGATCAGGGCCCTGCAGCGCTTTACTGGTAGCTCCAAGATTGCAAACAGGCTTAATGTGGCATGACAATTTGATTGAAAGGACTGCCTAGAGCCCTAAGTTGAAATGGGTTCTGAGACCATGTCCAGGCTCTTGAGAAGACAAGCGTCTGTCTTGGACAAAGGATAGGGGATTTATGGTATGCTTGCTGCGTACTTGCCTTTCCTGTTGTAGATACTGACTAGTCCACTAGTCCTGACACAGTGCCTTGCACGTAGTAGGTGCTTACTTAACATTTGTGGGATGAATGACCTGATAGTTCAATTGGGAGTATCAGGATATGTAGTAACATTTAGCAAGATGGAAAATCACCTCTAGAATTCAAGGCCTGAGTTTCAAGCTTTGTTATATGAGAATTCCTACTGGGAAGCAGAGATCCTAGAGCTAGCCATGTGGCCATCCATTTCGTGTACCCAGCATGTGGAAATTCATCATCCTCATGAATCATTATACTAACTCCTAAAAGGCGCATTTCCACTGGAGGTTGGTAGCTGCACACAAACCTAGCAGCTGTGGCTAATGGAGTGTTGCCAACACCCCAGCTGCAGGGTGTGCCTGTATTGCTGGGTTTCTGGGTTATTTATACAAACCTACCCTTTGGCACAAACTGACCTTCCCATTGGGCTTTGCGATGGATTTACTCCAGCGACCTGTACATCGTAGGTGCTTAAATCCTCCAGCCGAGAACAAAGTAGTCTGATACACTCAGGACTATAGGACTGTGGGTGAGAAGTAAGATAAGGGCTGTGGGTCAAGTCCCAGGAAGGGTCCCCAAACCTTTGGGTGGTGGTGGTGAAGACAGGGACTCTGTCCTATGATCCCAGAAGCCTCTGGAGAGGTCTTACACTATTTAAGGTCTGTCTAGGGAACTCTGTTACAAGAGAATAGTGTTATTGGTTGAACTAAGGCCAGAAGGAAAGGTCTTCCCCAAGATACTGGCCATAGGCATGGGTCCAGGACTTGGGGATGATGGGGACAGCATGAGGTGGGAGGACTGAACTCGGGGCAACGTCCTAATGAAGAGGCGGAGCATCTTCCAGAGTACCCAAGGACACCACTAGCAACCAATGTTTACCTAGTTTACTATGTATTCATCGGAAGTCTCCTGGTGCTCAGCCCAGTGCTAAAAGCTGTCAGAGGTAAACAAGTGAGGGTGCAACTGGCAGTATGCATGACATTAATGTGGGCTGATATTTATTTTAACTGCCAAATGTTTTGCATCTATTATCCCATTTAATTCTTATATCATGATCTTTTAGAGCAGGGCTAACGGAAGCACAGAGAGGGTACAGGTAGTAAGTAGTGTAGCTGGGATGTATCTGGCTCCAGAATTAAACTAGTAAAATATTTAAACCGGAGACCAATAGCTTTATGTACCCTAAGCAAAAAGTTGAAGTGTGGAAAGAAGATTTAAGTTTAAAAATGTCATAACAGAATTATCTAATTAAAAATAAACCAGAAGCACCCTAAATATTCAGGAGTAGAGGAATGACTATGGACTCTTAGTGACAATTATGGTAACTACCATTTAGCTCTTTACTGTGTCCCAGACACGGCGCTAATGATTGCACCTAAATAAATATTTCATTTCTCTCTGCAACAACTTTGTAAGATGCCTACTTCGTTCTCCCTCCAGCATCATTGTACAAACAGAGAAGCCGAAGGTAAGGAACTTGCCTGTTGTTGTGCGGGAAGAGCTGGTAAGCTGCAATTAGACGTGAGTCTGCTGATTCCAAGCTCATGTTCCCAGCCATGTGATTTACTCTTATGAGCTCATTAAAAGATACTTTTGGAATGATTTCAATGCTTACAAAAGAGGGGGTGGGGGGACCCAAACAACAACCAGGCTATTAAACTGCACATGTAACATGAGACTGACCCTAAAGCAGAATGCACAGGAGAGGCAGCCACAAAACGGTTAAGAATGCTTATCTCTGGAGAGGGTAGAGTGATTTCTCATCTCTGCTTTTTTACAAGTTCTGCCTTTTCTGCAATAAGCATGTATTCTTTCAGGATCTCGTTGGAAAAAGAAAAGCTTTGAAAAGTATTAAGAAAGAAAGCAAGGGAGTTAGCAGCTGGGAGGGCTTGCGTGCCTGTGTCACCCCTGGCCTCGTGGGCACCAGAGTCCCTGTCTTATCTTCCCAAGGCCGTCTTGGTTATATTAATGTTGCGTCTCCACAGGGCATAGCACACACCAGGCATGGAAGGACTGCGAGGGCCCTTCGTGTGAAAACAAGGCAATAAAGACCTACAGGTGAATAGAACTAATGAGAAAATAGCTCCTATTTGTTGAGATCTACTATGCATTTGGCTACATACTGTTTCACATACGTTGTTTTTGTGCTCATAACAAGACTAAACAAGGACAACATGCTGGTTAGATAGCGTGTTCTACGCCGACCCTTGCTGTCTCCATTCACCCTCTGCCCGCTCTGAACCCCAGGTGTGACCCCACAGCCTACACTGCCCAGGCTGCCTTGCAGGATGGTTTGTGGTTGAGACTGACCTCTTGGGAGGCATCAGCAGGAGATCAGAGAGAGGTCAGGCTGTTTTTCTAGTTCCTTCCTGCTCTGGAGCCTGACAGCACAGTAACTGCACCCCACTCCTCCCCAGCTCCCATTCCCCTGGGCTATTCCCACCCCTCGCTCTTCCTGGCCTGTCGTCAGATTCGGGGTGCAGTGACACCCTACGTTGGTTGCTTTAATATTGCCTGCCAAGTGTAAGGAGTCCTGCACGCTCTTTTTTGGTGACTCAGGCCAGTGGAGTCCTCTTTTCTGCTGAAACCCAGACAGATAGGGTGTCAGTGATCCTGGAGAATCAGAGGAGGCAGAGGCTTGGAGAGCAGTCCAAGGTCCCCCCGATGGTAGGAGGTGGAGCAGAATTTGAACCCAGGTGTCTGTATGATTCCCAAGACCCTTCCTACAGTCTCCTGGGGCTCTGGCTCCGTAAGCTGGATCTGCCCTTTGAACACAAGGGCAGACACTCAGCCCCTGAAGGAAAGCTGTGGTCAACACCTGCTCCGTGAAGCCACCGAGACCAAGTGGCTGCCGCTCTCACCGTGGGCATCCATCCTGGGCTGTCGCTGCCGGGATCCCTCCCACCTGTCCCGGAATGTTCGCCCGGGCGGGGATGAATGTTCCCTGTCTCTGTGCTGGAGATGGGTTTTTGTCTTCCTTTGTTCTTAAATTGCCAGTTGGAGGAGATTGATTTCCATGTCTTAGACGCCATGGCTCCCTGATTCTGGGGCAGGTGCTTGTGTAAAACCCAGGTCCGCTGAGAAGACTGCGAAGGTCCCTGTAGCTCTCGCATCCTCGGAATGAGAAGCATCTGTCCCTCCTCCTCATCCCACGGGGTCTCCCTGGGGTGGGAGCGTTGCAGAAAGTCAGGACCTGCCGTGTGTGTAAGCTGTAGGGGCCGAGTGAGCTCACAGAAGATGTGTGGACCGCGAGGAGGGACAGAGGCGAGGGAGCGAGGGCCCCTCGTGTCCATGGGAGCCCGCTCGCCGGCAGATAGGGACTCCCGCGTTCCCTGCACAAGGAAAGTCACTTTTTTGGAGAAGTCTTGACATTAATATTTTTAAAAAAGAAAGGGCCTTTCATACTGAGAACTAATGTATTATTTATTCTTATTTTGAAATTTTCTATGTGTTTTTCTTGGGAAAAAAGAAAAGTCAACTTGTCTATCATCCCCACGCCTCCTTCCAGAGCAATGGTGTGTTATGAAGAT